GTGATCTTGATACTAGCATCAATGTAATGCCATTATCTATAATGAAGAAGCTAGGAATCACAGAAGTAAAGCCAACTAGAATGATCCTGCAATTAGCTGACCATTCCACCAAGCACACCTATGAAGTAATTGAGGACATACTCGTTAAAGTGGAAAAGTTTATCATTCTGATGGACTTTTCATTTTGGACATAGAGGAGGATGATATTGCTCCCATGATCTTTGGGAGACCTTTCTTAGCAACCTCCGAGGCGCTAACTGATATGCCTAAGGGTGAACTGACCCTAAGGGTGGAAGGAGAAAATGTTGTTCTCAAAGTGTTTGAAAAAGAGACTCCACCACCTACAGTTCAGCTAGAGGAAATTTTCTTTATCGATAAGAAGAAGGATGAGGAGGAAGACAAGAAAGATCATGAGCAGATGAGAGCTGCAAGTCGAAGGTGAAGATGGCCAAGCCCAAGAGCAAGGGAAAACATATTAAGACTAAGTTCAGAGTTCTTGAGGTTGCTCCTTCTCATCCATATGCACGTGAGTACTATTAAGGCAATGCACAATTTATGATAAAAGGGATTGGGGGTTTGGTTAATTTAGAAAGAATCATTGATAACTTGATCTTGAATATTAATTACATGAAAAGGTAGAATTGTTAGGAAAACATTGAGGAAATCAAATCCTTAACTACGCTTGTCTTTCATTGAGTTTAACTGTTTTTGCTTGTGTCCTTGAATTCTTGATTATTGTTCTTAGTTCTTAATATTAAAAATTAAAAATATTATTTTTAAAATTTGGTTTTACAATTTAAATCGTATTCTCAAGAAAACCTTTTTATCGATCGATCCAACTTTGGTCGCATAGATAAGTTTGTGTTTGATACACCAATCCTCATAGGAACGACAACTCCATTCTTTACCGCTTTATTACTTGTATGACTGGTGCACTTGCCGAAGTCACAACACATTGCTTTATCTTTTTTAGTCTACCCCTTTGGTGCTTGTCTCTCTTGTTAAATCTTTGCCCTCCATCTTCATCTAATCCAACGGTCTTCAAACTCCTTGACAAAAAGTTGTTGAGGTAGTTGAGTTGTTCCTTTCCATTGGTTTATTTTCATGATGTATCACTCGGTATATCTTTTACCAAATATGATAAAAGTAGCTTATTTATACTATTCTTATCTTTATAATTTTTTCCTTCCATATCCTTATTTATTCCCATTTTGGATAAGGGAATATTTTTCCTTTCCACGTCACCTATTACAGGTAGGGGTGTGCAAAAAAACTGGTTCACTTGCCCTGCCCTTGATCCGACCTTGACCTGACCCATAAATACCTATATTTTTTGAACTGGTTTAAATACTGACCCACTTTTATTTGGGTCAGTTTTAGACCTGACTTGTTTTAATATTGATCCATTGACCCAAAACTTGACCCATACCCATTATGTGAAAAAATAAATCACAGTTACATTAAAAGAAAAGTTTTAACGTAAAACAATTACGTCAAAAAATTTTACGAAAAATATTTTCATCAAAATTTGTGACTAAAAACATTTATGTAAAAAAATTTGTCGGAATATTTTTTTTGTCGAATTTTTTTACAGAATCTAAGTTTCGTCAAAATATTTCACAAAAAAATATATTCATCAAAAATTTCGACGAAACACATTTTCATCAAAAAAATTTGACGGATAAAATGTCATCAAAATTCTTTGCAGATTTCAAATTTCGGCGAAAGTTTTCGACGGAAACATTTTCGTTAAACTTTTTGACAAAAAAAAAATCCGTCAAAATTTTTAGCGAAACACATTTCTATCGAAAATTTTCGACTAAATATTTTCGTCAAGTTTTTTGATAAAAAATATTTCCATCAAAATTTTCGATAAATATTTTCGTTAAGTTTTTTGATAAAAAATATTTCCATCAAAATTTTCAACGGAACACATTTCTGAAAAAAAAATTTGAAAAAACTTTTGACAAAAAATATTTCGATAAAAAATTTTGACGGAAAAAAATATTTTGTCAAAATTCTTTAGAGAATCTAAATTTCGTCGAAAGTTTCGAATGAAACATTTCCCTCAAAATAATTTTCATTGAAAATTTCGACGAAACACATTTCTATCAAAAAAATTTGACGGAAAAAATTTTCATCAAAATTCTTTAAAGATTTCAAATTTCGGCGAAAGTTTTCGACGAAAAAATTTTTGTTAAACTTTTTGACAAAAAAAAAAATTTCGACAAAATTTTTAGCGAAACACTTTTCCATCGAAAATTTTTAACTAAATATTTTCGTCAAGTTTTTTGATAAAAAATATTTCCATCAAAATTTTCAACAGAACACATTTCTGTAAAAAAAAGTTTGTAAAAAATTTTGACGGAAAAAATATTTTGTCAAAATTCTTTAGAGAATCTAAATTTCGTCGAAAGTTTCAAATGAAACATTTCCCTCGAAACAATTTCCGTCAAAATTTTTGTCAGAACACATTTCCATCGAAATTTTGAACGAAAAACATTCCGTCAAAATTTTTGACAAAATTCTTTTTTCGTTTAAAACATTTGATGGAAGAAATCATTTTCGTCAAAACTTTTGATGGAAACTAAATTTTGATAGAAAAATTATTTTTTTAAAAATTTTCATTAGAGAAAAAATTTTGTCGCTTTTCGACAAAATGTATTGCGACGAAAAAATAGTTTTGTGACAAAATTTTCGTCGTTTGCAACGTAGAAATTTCGACAAAATTTTGTGGAAAACCAAGTCAAAAACGGGTCAGGTCAGATTTGACCCACTTTAGAAACTAAGTCAGACCCACTTCAGAAACCAAGTCAGGTCAGATCCGACCCGGTTCTGAACTAGTTCAACAAAATCCAAACCAAGTCAGACCTGACTTGAATCAAATGAAAGCGGATCGGGTCAAAATACATGACCTATAAAAACCAAGTTGGGTCGAGTCGGACAAAAATCTGACCCGACCTAACCCATGCACAACCCTAGTTACATGAGAAGTTTGAGTTTTCCTGCTAAGAGAAAAAGAGGTGGGCTCCACCTCTAAAAAACAAAATGGCACAGAAATCGAATAGACATTCACAGGAGAATACACTTCTCCTACAACAACATAAGTGTATTTCCCTTCTACCGTTCAATCAGTATGCCTACCAATATTAAATTAAAACGTCACTACACTAGCTGTCAAAATTTTCAATATTTTAGATTGATTTTTCAAACAAACTCCATAATTTCCCATTATTACAACCATTTTTAATCACTACTTAACATGGTAAAAACTTGTCTCAAGAGTCAAGACATCCTAACAAAACATCCCGAACTTTAAGACCCTACTAATCCTCGATTAGGTTCAACAATAACATCCAAACACAATATTCATTTCGAAGACTTAAGAAGAAGTCATGGTTTCAGGAAATTTTCTTCTATACATCGGATGTACTAACTTGGGTACATCTTTTTTCTATAAAAAATAAATTTTCTTTCCATTAAACCCACACTTTCATTTTTATTCCATCTGTATCCCCACTTTTTTGCTTTTTTGGAACTGATGCATGGTGCATCGGTAGCACCAAAGGTTTGCTCTGGTTTCAGAGCCAAGTATAGTTTGCAAATAACCAAGTACCACAATAGTCCAATATATATTTCTATTTTAAAAATTGTCTTCCTCGCAATCATACACCCAACTCCCAACTTTAAATTCACTAATAAGTTGAACTATATAGGCTGGCAAATCCACCATATTTGGCTGCTGGATTTTCAATTGTTAGGACTTCCACAAAGAAAATTTCTACCTGTTCCTCACAGATTAATTTATTTCACTCATCGGTCTGAGTTAGTAAGGGTAAATCACTCAATGCCCTCTTCCAAAAAAGGCAGTGCCATAAACTTGACCAGTTTCTCTCCTCCTTCAGTATTGTGACATGGGCTTCCCAATCTAGGGGTTCTAACAAGGTGTGGGTAATTAAGGAAGGTTACATTTGAGAGGGGGAAAGGATGTAGCAAGTGAGGGAAAGAGCCAAAAATTAGAGGGTCCTCAATTTAGACATCTGTAAGAGATGATAGAACACTGTGGACTATGAGAAGCCTAAGAACAAAGGTGGTGTGTGTGCATAACAACATTAAGCATACTAAGGTTAAGAGAGAATACCTATGAGATGAATTCCACTTTTTATAGAATAAGCTATTGCCAACTTGCTTAGCCAATCTTGAAGCTCATGATGTGGGCCCATAACAATTGGAAGTGTAACTTAATTATAATTTACACTTTATTTATAAAATTTGGACACACTAACAAGTTACATGAAAGTGAGTTACATGTAATTTTATATTCCTTTTATTTTTGTACACTAATTTTATACTTTTTATCAACCGGTAAACAGTGACACTCAATTTAATTTCTTTGTATCTTTCTATTTTTACTGTGATGATTTTTCATTTTCTCATTTTTCATCGCTTCAAAGTATACATTCTCCATTTCATAGAATTCCTCTCCTAAGTCCTACCTTGGCCCTCCCATTTTTTTTACAATGATTACGTACAATATTTTTCAAACAAGAACACACAACTATGTTTTTCCCCGATAAAAAGTTAGATTTATTGATCATTCCCATGCAAGCAATGGAAGGCAACTTTTATCGAACCAGTTAAGGTGAGAAGTTGAAAATCGTACACAAAAGAACAAGAAAATAAAATATAAAATAAAAGAAAAAATCACTATTGGTGTTCTAGCTTAGTTACACCCCACATAGTTTTGTTCATAATTAACATGATTATTTACCATTGAGACTAATCATTAGTTTGATCATTTCTATGCAAATGAAAGCGGCAAAACTATTAAACCAATTGTAGAAGACACACTCCTTTGTTCGTACGTTGAATCAGGAAGGTGACCTCGATGTTCCATTGCTTAATTCATTGTGTTCATCGTTTAGTCAATGAAATAACCAACCAAAAACCAAATAATTAAATGAATAAATAAATAAACTGCTTCAAGTTCTATTTAAGAAATGATGCAGTGGCTCAGCTTGATGGCAACAAAAATGATGGATAGCTTCACAGAATCTGCAAACAAAGTAGTAATGGCTGCACAAAAGGAAGCTAGGCTTTTGGGACACAAATACATCAGCACAGAGCATATATTGCTGGGGCTCCTTGGTGAAGCAAGTGGGTTGGCAGCAGAAGTTCTTCAATGTGCTGGAATTGATCTTATTGTTACCAGGGTGCAAGCAGAGAAGTTGAGTGGGAGAGGTGGTGGTTGTAGTGATTTGTCTTATGCAGATTTGAGGTTCACTTGTGATGCTAAGAATGTGCTTGAACTCTCACTCAAAAAAGCCAAGCGCCTAGGTAGTTTATGCTTACATCAATGTTGTCTTGGTATTAGAGTTATAATATAAACAAGTCGTGAAGCCTATACTATGGTTAGAGATATAACGTAAAATCATTCTTCTGCCTTCATCCAACAGCTCAAAGCTTTTTGGATAAGCTGTTGAATGAAGATAGATGAATGCTTTTATATTATATCTCTAACCATGTTGAAAGTTTTGTCACTTGTTTATATTTGACATGCTTGTGGTTTTGCTATTTTCCTCCACCTTCTCTCTCTACTACTTTTCTCTATGAATGCTTTTAACTTTGTCTGGGAAACCAAAGACATTAGGGAAAGTAAATAAAATGAGTGAAATTGTTATATGTTAACCAATCTAGGCATGGTTCATGTTACTGGCAATCATTCCTGTCACTCAGTGGCGAACTGAGCCATGTTGATATCAGCTAGGGATACTGGCTGATTTTAAAAAATGGTACATATTTTATTTAAATATTACAGTACAGCCTTAGTATTGCCTGAGTTTTTTTGGCACAGGCTAAAATTATTTTCTGGCTCCGCCACTGCTCTCACTTTATTTCCCTCCTCATTTCTGAACTAGCTAGTGTTCAATTATTGTCTCACATAGTTTATTATGCTTCAGGTCAAGATTATGTTGAAACAACACATCTGCTTTTGGGGTTGCTTCGGGGGTCTGATGGTGTGGTAACTCATTTGATTCAAAATCAAGGTGCTGATGTGAATAAAATTCGTGAACAGGTAAGCCATAATGCCTTTACCTGACTTTTGTTGTCCAATGTAGAGTACCTAGTAATGAAAGTTCATTGAAGTGTGAGCAGGTGATTAGACTAGTGTGTGGCAAGATTGAAGGAAATGTTCACTATGATGATGTGCCTGCAGAAGGTTCTTCTAAGAATAATCAGATGACAGTTCCTGTTGTATCTAGTAACAATGATCTATGTGCAAAAAAAGATGATAAGAATCAACAAACGCCTGCCCTTGACAATTTTGGAATCAATCTAACAAAATTGGCGCAGGAGGTATGGTAATGACATTGAATTTAGATATTCAGGATTTGCTTGTTTGAGCTGGTGGATGATGGAGAGAAAATGAGTGCATTTATTTTCCACCTTCTCATACTTTTTTGTTATACCAAGCAAATAATACTAAATGATTTTCACCTTCTCAGTTTCATATGAACACAATGTTACTAACTCTCTCTTTTTCTTGGTAATGATTACCGGTTCAATTTTAAGAAATTAGGCCACAATAATCATTGTGATGCATGACAAAATAATACATTGGTTTATCCATTCTTTTGAATTTGGTTTAGTTCACAAAATACTGATTTAACTCAATCATTATGCCTGTCATTGCAGAACATTGTAGTGTACAAAAAAAAAAATTGAGTTTCTATATGAATAACAGTGCTTGAAGATTGTTAGAAAACGTACTATGTTATAGGGTAAACTTCATCCTTTTGTGGGAAGGGAAGAGGAAGTGGAACGCGTGATTCAGATAATTTGTAGACGGATGAAAAACAACCCTTGCCTTGTGGGAGAACATGGAGTGGGGAAAGCAGCAATCATAGAGGGCCTTGCTCAGAGGATTTTGAGTGGTTCTGTTCCTGAAAAACTTAAGGGAAAGAAGGTAATTGGTGCTATACTTTGTACTTAAATGGTTCATCTCAATGGTAGCCACTGTATGCACTTATTCATTAGATTGTATTAGTACTATGGAGTGGTGTGAGCAGAAAGATTATTCAACAATGCAGTATAATCATTTCAGCTTATTTTTGTTTCTCAGGTGATTAAATTGGATGTGGCTAATTTTTTATATATAACATCAAATCAAGGAAATTCTGAGGAAAGAACTATGTGTTTATTTAAGGAGGTTGAACAAAGTGGTGATGTAATACTTTTTGTGAAACAAGCTGATATCTTATTTGAAGCAAAGACAAATGGGGCCCGCAATTTTACATGCATTTTGAAATATGCCCTTGAAAGGGGTCTTATTCAGGTAGGAATTATCATTTTAATCTTTCACAAAACTAAGGTGGTTACAAATTTTATGATATCTCTTGATCCTTTCTTTACATTCCATAAACTCATATTTCTAACAACACAAAAAACAACAGTTAGTGTATAGTATTACAAACTTCAATTTGTATGTAGTGCATTTTTGCTACAACAGTGAATGAGCACAGAAAGCACATGGAGAATGATGCAGCTGTGATAAGAATGTTTCAACCAGTTAAAGTGCCTGAACCATCCGTTGAGGAAACCATAGAGATTCTAAAAGGCCTTCGTGGAACATATGAGACTCATTATAAACTCAAATACACAGATGAAGCTCTTGTTGCTGCTGCAACTTTGTCTCAACAACATGTGAGGTAAATTTGTATATACAAAATAGAAATTTCATTGTTCCTGCCTGTACATACAAAATAGGAATTTCATTGTTCCTCTGATTAATCATCATCTCAGAATAGAAAAGAAAAAAAAGTATATCCCATTTTTATTGGCCTGTTCATCACAAGTTTAGACTGGACTAATGGGAGAAGAGGAGACTTTATTAAATAACAAGAATGAAATTTTGAAAGTTCTTAAATCTGAGATAATGATTCTATTTTCTTGTAAACAAAGTTCTTGCTTTGAATGTTCGTGTATTTCCTTTTCTAGTTTTTCACATGTGTTTTTGATATATAAATTTTCAGTGATCGTTTCTTACCTGATAAGGCAATTGACTTGATTGATGAGGCTGGATCTCATGTTCAACTTTGTCATGCAAAGGTAAAATGGTAGTTAGTAAGTGTTGTAATTCTTAAATGTTTGGATCAATCAGATGAAGCTGAAAACCTTGGCAAAGGGCTTAGATAGATGACCTATGGAAAGGAATTTGTTACAAACCATTCTGTTATCACAGAAGGTATATCTACCCTTGTGTTGGACTGTCTTTAGTGCCAAATCCTCACCCAGTGATTGAATCCCCTCTATTTTCCATAAAAGATGAAGAGGTAGAAGCCATCTAGAACTTCACTCCGTTAGTATGTTACCTCTTTCCACACTAATATCTTTTCTTTCACTCCAATGTTTGCAAGTTAAAAGTCAGACCAGGCTAACAATGTTAAGACAAAGAACAAATATATATGTAAAGAACCAATTACATGGTATTAGAGCGTCAGTGTTACGGGTTCGGTCCTCACTGCCCCCCATTTAATTAATAATTAATTAAGTTTTGTGGAGTTTCTTAGCACCGGTAGGTAGGACTGTGTTGTCCACCCTTCGAACCCAATGAGCTCTTGTGTGACGGAGCGTGTTAGATGTAACACCCCGTTCTAGAACCGAATTGTTATCATTGCTTACGGCATTAAGCGCAGTTACAATCACATTGGTTCAATTAGAAAACCGGATAAAATTTTCCTTTTTAAACAAGCCGGATTTAAATAACCAAGTGCGTGATCATAACTATATATACTTCGCGGAATAGTGGGACTAAACTTAATATTATATTCCCATTCTACTTGACAATACGTCGTTAGATGTCTTCATCACTTTAATTATCAAATTAATTCTAAACTCCTTTTATGATTCCCATCTTCTACTATGTTATAGGATTTTTCATTAGCTACGCGTGAGTTCAAACCGCGCTCAAATCGGAGCACCGTAGCCAAAGTTATGCATTTTCTAAGAAAAGGGTGAGAAACCTCCAGAACCCCTGTGCCCGCAGCGTGAGATCCACGCCCAGAGCGTGGGAAAACAGAAAGTTGACGCCCCAAGCGTGGATCTGGCGCCCCAAGCGTGGATGCTACTGTCTGATCTCGTAATTTGGCGCCCCAAGCGTGAATCTGGCGCCCCAGGCGCCATCCACAGGGCTGGGTGACCCAAAACAAGGTCATTTAACCTACCTATGGTTTTCCACTCATAACTTGAGCTATACTCACTAAAATTACACCATTTTGGTCTCTATGGAAAGCTAAGAGAAATTTCTACAACTTCCATAGAGACATCAAAGTCCAATTCCATCACATTGGGTGTGAAAATTGGCCAAACGGACAGGATGTATTTGTTTTCTCAACATTTCCCAATTTAGCACTAGGTACCTAATTTAGTTTCCAGTTCAACAATCCAATACTTAATGAACATACATATATTAAACTTAAAGTACTCATCAATTACAAATCATGTTCATTACAATTCATGGAACTTAGCTTACAAAACACTATGATCATTCCCTTGGCTCCCATCAACAAAAGAGATGACCAAAGGCATGAGCATAGGCTAAGTCCATTCCAATATACAAATCATACATCTATCAATGGTCTATGAATTACAATCCTATACATGTGAGCTACAAAACAACATGTATAATATCAAAATATAGGATCCTCATGCATATGTTAATCCAAATATGGCCACTTGCCACTGGTGGCTCCTGCAGCATCCTTACCTGAAAGGGGGTCCCCACAACACGGGGTGAGATATACGAATATATCCAGTAAACCAGGGGTCCTTGGAGCATCTCTCCACCCCACAGTTCCATATCAGTGTAATAGCAATAACAATAATAATGCAGTAAATACATATCTATGCAAAGTGCAATACATCTCCAAGAGAAATCCCTCGAGCTCTCAAGCTGTCCTAAGGAAACTCAGTTGCAAATAGTCCTACTGGCCAGCTAACTACCAAGTATGATTTACGCATCGTCATGCCACATACCAACATAGGGAAACACCATCCTATGCCACACCAAATGCATACACATACGTATAACAAAGCATTACACTATTTTATTGCATTTATATACACAATCACAACCTCTACCCTTTCAGGGCTTGGTAGAACACTCAAGGGAATTACACCCAAGGTCCGAAGGCTTACCTCAAAGCTTCCGTTCAACCTTTGTTCACCACCAACGGTTCAGCAACCAATCAACTTTGGTTTCAACAATGACTTACAAGTAACACACCTATTCCAAGGAGCTAATCAAGCTCCATAGTTTGCTCCAATGGTTGATCACTCACGGTTGGTCCAAATGCCTCAATCCTAGAATAATATTCCAGACTTTTGGGTAAAGTTTGGTAATTAATGGAATTGAATAGATAGATGAACTAATACCCACATGTTACCACTTAACCTATGTTAAGTGATAAAGTAACTAAAGAAAACCCATTTCCCCCCAGCAACCCGTCGAGCCAGAAGAGAAGAAAAGAAGAAGAAGGAGAAGGAGGAGAAAGGGAGAGAGAAGAGGAGAGAGAGGAGGGAGCAAATCCCAACCGATTGGAGTGATTCCAAAGCCTAAACCACTCTAAATCTTCCCCTCTTTCATAATCCTAGCTTTGTTTTGAGTGGGGAGCATTGTGGAGAGGGATATTGGCTCTCAAAAATTTTTATGGTATCAGAGCCTGGCCCTGGACCGGTGTGTACAGCGGGGACGCTGTATTCCCAGTGGGGGAGGATGTAATGTCCCACATCGGTTGGAGAGGGGAACGAAGCATGCCTTATAAGGGTGTGGATACCTCTTCTAGTGTGAGGCCTTTTGTGGGGTGTCCCAAGAAACAAAACCGTGAGCCTGAGGGCAAAGTGGACAATATCATGCTACAGGGTTTGGGGCTGTTACATTAGAGATATGTATAACATTAATGTAGTGTCACCCATCATAAGTTTTTGGGGTGATTTGGTTTTTTACAATATTACCCCTCTATTTGCTTCATGGTTACATTAATTTTTTTTTTTTTACTATGCTAGAATTTGATATGTTGAATCATTTTGACACAGGCCAAAAAGAGTCGAAACATTACTCTTCCTAGTGTGACAAAATTTGAAATTCAGCATGTTGTTTCTTCCTGGACTGGAGTACCAGTTAGGGATATATCAAGTGAGGAGGGTGAGCGCCTCCTCAAGTTGGAAGAGATGCTTCACAAATATGTCATTGGTCAGGATGAAGCAATCAACGCCATTAGCCGAGCTATTAGGCGTGCTAGAGTTGGTCTTAGAAACTCAAGAAGGCCTATTGCAAGTTTTATGTTCACTGGTCCTTCAGGTGTAGGGAAGACTGAATTAGCCAAAGCACTCACAAACTATTTTGGCTCTGAAGATGCCTTGATAAGATTAGATATGAGTGAGTACATGGAAAAGTACACAGCATCCAGATTAATTGGAACAGCCCCTGGCTATGTTGGTTTTGAAGAAGGTGGTCAATTAACTGAAGCTGTTAGACATAGGTCTCATGCTGTTGTTCTCTTTGATGAGATTGAGAAAGCACATTCAGAAGTTTTCAATCTAATGCTTCAAATTCTTGAAGATGGAAGGCTCACAGATGGCAAGGGACAAACAGTGAACTTCAAGGACACACTCATAATAATGACTAGCAATCTTGGTAACAACATCATTGAGGAGGGAAGTGGTGAAACTAAGTTAGTGATTGATAAAGATGAATGTTTTGATCATAAAAGGAACCTAGTTATGGAGGAACTGAAGAATCATTTTAGACCAGAGTTTCTGAATAGATTTGATGAGATAATTGTCTTTAAGCAACTAACAAAGCTGGAGGTGGAACAGATTGCAAATATAATGCTGAAAGAAGTGTGTGAGAGGTTGAAGGCCAAAAACATGCATCTTTCTGTTACTTGTAGGTTTAGGGACCATGTGGTCCATCATGGATACAATCCTAGATATGGTGCCAGACAATTAAGAAGAACCATTTCAAGATTATTGGAAGACACATTGGCAGAAAGGATACTAATGAAAGAAATAAAGGAAGGGGACTCAATTGTTGTTGACATCAGTGTTGAGGGAAATGTGGTTGTGCTCAACCAGAAAAATGCTACAAGGGAAGATCCTTCTGTAAGTTGTATTGATTCATATGGGAATGATGTAGCAGATGAAAAAAGAGAAAAAATGGTTGGAAGCTCGTGCAGTTTGATGGGCAAGATGTTAGGTCTGCTGGGTCATCGAAAAAGTCCATAACTATACAAAAGTTGCATTTTTTTTCTATTTATTTTTGCAACCAAGATTTTTTTCAACTTCCAATGCCCCAAAAGAATGCACTGATTTCAAGAGATTGTACAATTTACAATATATGAGACTTTTAATTCTTCTCTCCTGCTTATTACATATATATGTTGTAATAGTTCTGATTTCATCTTATTGCCATAGTTTCTTTATATTTTCATTCATGCTAGAAAATTTTTTAAAATTTTGGCATGACAATGGCCAATTATGTTGTGACATGATTTAAAATTATTTTTTCAAAGGATATATCAGTATTAATCTTGAATGGTAAGCATGACCCTGAGTTTTGCCAATTGTGACATACTTTTCTTGTCTTTTCATTTATTTTATTTTTCTCTTTTAAACAATGTTTTAGTTTTCTCACAGTTACCATATAATTATTTTAAGAACCATAATCAAGGCAAGGAAAAAGGTACATGTATTATACTAAAGAGAAATTTCAGGCTAATATCCAATAGAATCTACTTTCTAACGAGGTTGAGACCTTATAATGGTTAAAAATACCATCAAAAGCTAATTGAGTGGTACCCCAATATAGACTTCCCTATATTTGCCTTTCTTTTTCTCCCTCATTTTGCGGATGAAGGTGACAACTTGTGGTCACAAATTACCACATATTTGAAATAGCAAAACTGAGTTTGTTAACACCCCAAAATTTCAGCTGACTCAGCGCTGGGAAGTTATTCTTAATTGAATCTTTATTATTTCCTCCTTTGTGGGAAGCATAGACAAATTTCAGGACCTTCTCTCTCTTCTAGCTGAGAATCCAAAGCATCTTGTGAAGCTGGTAATTCATTGACGAGAAGACTATTTCATTCTACTTTCTGCATGCCTTCTCACGTATACAGGTACATGTCACTTATGGCTTCCATCAACATTTTCTTCAGTGATTTCTTTTGCTTTCATCTTCATTCACAATATATATAGAGGGCTAAACTAATCTCATCTTATATGAGAATATGTTTTATGTTCTGAGATAAATTTGAATGGCTATGATTTCTTTTCTTTTTTCTTCCTTTATCACCATTGATCTATTTTTGTACAATTATGATTTAGTAGCCGAAGATAAAGTTATCTCAAGCATCTTGATAAACGAGAAACGATAAGTCATATATATATATATATATATACGCGCGCGCTTGCGAAAGTGTTAATAAGCACGTCAACGAAGCATCTTTTCATGAAATATAATTTAATAATTTAAGGGTGAGTTATTAGCATTCTTCGGTTATACTCATACATGCATGATGCATACTACAAGAAAAAAGTTTATTTGTGACAAAAATTTTCATCACAAATTTTGTCACAAATGACAATTTTTGACACAAATAATCAAATTTCGTCACAAATAAATTTGCGACTTAGAAATTTGTGACGAAATTTCATATGTAGTGACGAAATTTGTGACACTAATAAGAAATCATAAAAAACATTATTTAACATTTTTTTGTTCTATTGATTTATGTTACACAGTAGGTTGTAATCTCTTTCCTGATCCCTGGTCATTACTTCCAAGGTGTAGAATTTTACCAGCTGAGTCAGTTAACACTTTGAATAAGGATCTAATATATATTCTTGTGTATGTTTCAATTATATTTCCAACTCTTATATAGTTCACTTTGTCTATGATTCAAATTCTAATTTGTTGTTTACATTATTAACAAAAGAAGCTTTGACAGGAAAAATATGGAGCCAAATGTGGAACAAAAGCCCCCAAAGATGAGTATTCATGTAAATATCCCTGAGTATGATATGAATGCTCTTAAGAAACAATCACATATGCTTGTGTCACCAACATCTCTAGCAGTAACCAGAAAATCTTCAAGTGGGAAGTGGAATTGTCTATGCTCACCCACGACACATGCTGGCTCATTCAGGTGCCGGCTCCACCGCACCGCCACCGGAGGAATGAACCGTGGTAGATCTGTTGGCTCCAACCTCTGTCAATTGGGCTCTAAAGGAGACTCAATCAGTGGATCATTCCAATCTTAGTAGCTTGCATTGCAAGTAATGATGGTGTTGAACATATATATACACAACACATATTATCTATACCAGCAGCCAATGGTTGTTCATAGTGTTATTCATAAATCCTTTTGTTTTTCAAGGATATGAAACTTTACTTCTCTTAAACAATCTCATCTACGTGTTCAATTTATTTGTATGGTGATTGAAAAACATATAATTGAGTTCTTGCCAATTGACAACACTAATAATATATTTTTGTTGCAAGAAAATGGGTGCAATAGAGGGGGTTGTATCTTGAGATTTGATTCTAAAGATAACATTTTAAGTAGTTGCGAATTGTGATCATTGTGCAAAATGAACATGTCTTAATCCTTTTAATCCTTCTTGTTTTTATCTACCATAATCAATTGGTAGGAATCGTGTTATTAAAACTTTTATACGTTCACATATTGGTTGGTGAACGAGTCAAAGAGCATAAAATAAGAAACACAGGAAAAACTAAACACAAGGAAAATGGGGTATCAATTATAGAAGTATAAAAAGAATTAAAAAGGCATTTACTTAATATAGCTTCAGCTTTTACGTGAATTGATTGCTTTAAGTGGTGTTAGAAAGTAGAAACTATGACCGCGGAGCATCTTCATCTCACAAGCATTTAAATGATGAAAATATCAATAAAAACCTATTGGTAACTAACACGTGCTGCCAAAACTGGCTTGGCTCGCGGGCCGATCCGCCCTATCTGCTAAATTGTGTGACGTGGGCTGAGTTTTATATCTCATCTTTAAAAGTGAGGTGGGTTGGTTCATTTTTGGCAGGTTGATAGCAAGGTGGAGCGAGTTAATGTAAAACATATTCGGATCAACGGAGCGTGCTGACTCATTTTTTGGCTGGTTGACGAGAGAGCAAGACGTCCACTTTGTCACCCCACCATGAAATTAAATTACAAAAATTCTTCGTATTAGCGTTTTATGGTACATGAATATGTGAAAGAAAATATTTTCAAAACTATCTAAATTTTAAACGTTGTCAAAATCTTCAAAAAATTTCTTAAAAAATAAAAATAAAATACATATACTGTGAAAACAAGTAAAATCGGATAGATAAAGGTTTTTATTATTTAAAGGTAAAATATAAAAATAAATTGTAAGAAATATTAAAAAAAACAAATGAGAAAATTTTGTCATCAAACAAAATAAGAAATAATACACATACAAAAATATATAAGATCATGTGAAGAGAAAAATTAAGTTTTATACACTTTTATATTTGTGATAATGAGTAGCGGATAAAAAAAAAATTTTTGTAATCTAAACGGGTTAACAACAACACCCCAAAGAGATCAATTCAATAAAATAGTTCTGAAATTACAAGACAAACACAAATCAGCCCAATAAGGACAAACATAATTTTTGTGTTTTTTCAAACCCTTCCCCTGATATTTAGCGGATAATTTTATTATTTCCTACATTATCAAAAATTTAAATGCTAAAATTATTTAGAAAAAAGTCTCTTTACAAATATACAAACGTATATTTATCTACAAGCTTCACTCCTACCCAAGTTAGTACGGGTTTAATAAGATTTGGTGGCAAAAAAATAAAATAATGCATTTTAATTAAATAATTACGCATTTATTACAATTTTAAGAATAATTATACATTTATTGCACAATGTGACGCCCCTTTTGGGCGTCACACTTGTGCCCTATATACACCCCCATTTCTACCATTTCACTTCTCACTATTTCACCTCTCTCTAACCAAGGATTGTGCTCCCGACCAAACGCAAAAATTTTCATAGCGAAGCTCTGCCAACTTAGGTAAGTTCGTAATACCTGCTATGTATACGTTTAAATTACAGTGCTACCTTGCGAACATGTTAGGATTTATCGTATATTAGAGACTTAGAACATTAGGATAGTCACTTAGAAATTTTGTACCATGCTATGAATGTTGTAATGATTTAGTAATTTTTTTGTTACGTATTTAATATTATTAATATTTAATTATGCATTGTGGTTTAGCGTATTAATTAGTGATTTAGAAAATAGTGATAGTGACTTCGTAAATTTTGTATGATGTTATTAATGCGGGAGTGTATTGATAATTTTGTAGTCAGTTAGGTGTTATTATTAGTACATATTTATGAAGTTATTAGTGACTTAGGGTCAAGTATTATGTCAGTATGATTTAATTTGTGTCCGATATTTTATTATTATTTAATTACAAATAAATGACTGTACTACGTATTAATATTATTTCATTAATTTCGATTGTAGTAAAAACGTAGGGTTTATGCTTAATATTTTTTATAATAAATTAGGGCATTGCTTAATTAATTTGTACATAAGATGTGTTGTTACATGTGATTAATTTGATTGTTGTTTTATATTATATAGTTTAGGGTCATGGCTGATTCATCATCATCTTCGGGTTCTACATCGGATCCAAAGCCTACTGATCCTAGCATATACATACCTGGTCCTTATAGATGGGACGTCCTTCGTAAAAAGACGCAGCGTGCTCATATTTCACAGCGAGTGTGAAATACGGAGCATGCAAGGAGACTGAAGATCAGGCGTGGGAAACCACAGGGGGGACCACCTACCGGAGCTATACCAGAGGCGGTCACAGACTACCTCACAAAGGCTGAATTTATACATGTTGCCCGGATGCAACATATCCAGGTATGCAATTTACGGCGTTTTGTATTTATGTAATTATTCAATACCATTCGTTAACACGTGATAATTGTATAATTTATTTCAGATTGATGCCCCATTAATTAGTGCTCTGGTCGAGAGGTGGAGACTAGAGACACATACATTTCACATGACCCAAGGTGAGATGACTATCACCTTGCAGGATGTGGCCGGCATATTGGGATTGCCTACTGACGGCTTTGTCGTTACCGGATCTACATCCGAGGATTGGCCCGCTGTTTTTGCTGATGTTTTTGGCGCGATTCCGCTGGCCAGTGAGTTCCATCATTCAGGTGACCTCTGCATCTCATTCTTGGATCGGTTATATACCCGGTGGACTGATCATGTCGGGGATCATGATCGCGAGATCTATTTCACAAAGGCGCACATTGCTCGCATGCTAGGGTGTTGGTTGCTGGCGGACAAGTCTGGAGGTAGCAATATCAGTTGTCGGCTAGTCCCGTTGCTTGGGGGAGGATTTGATGAGATTGGTCGTTTCAGCTGGGGATATGCGGTTCTTGCACACTTGTTCAGGAATTTGTGCGAGTGTACAGATGTTGGTCGATCTGACATGGGTGGTTGCTATATTCTTCTTCAGATTTGGGCATGGATACGATTCTCACCCGTTGCTCCACCCCTTCCTCCTCATCCAGAGCCGGGCACGCATTTTGGATGCCAGTATGCTTTATTAAATTCATTGATTTCGCTAATGAGTTATTTTTTCTACTAACTGTATACTTGCTTGATTATGATTGATGATGTATGTTTCTGATGACAGGTTTAATACGGTGGCAAAGTTTAAACCTCATGAGGTTGTTCATTATCGGGCAACCTTGGATACACTATGTAGAGATGAGGTAAGGTTGTGGATACTTAATATGTTGATATTTCATCATTCATGTATATTTTTTGTAACATCATATATTCTTTTTCACTTTGTGTGTAGGTGGTGTGGAAACCATATATCGACTCCACACCAGTAGTACCTTTGGCTTGCTGTCACACCCCTTATTTACTTCCACACCGTAGAGGCATGTCAACCGGATAGGTGCATGCGGCAATTTGGTCTGGATCAACCCATCCCGGATATGAGCAGGAAGTTGAGAGGGATCCATGATCATACTCTGCGGGGGAAGGTTGAGGAGAACTGGAGGCGTAAGCTTCGTCCTTGGATTGAAAGATGGCAAATCAGGGAGCAGCATAGCGTTCTGCCCCCTCCATTACTAGGGTTGATGTCACCTAACCATGCGTACATGGAGTGGTACAGAGCCAGGGAAAGAGATACATTTCTCGGAGAAAAGCGAAGCATGTATTCGCACCACCTTGGCAAAAAAGCATATGATTCCTCCCAATCGCCGTACATATTTGCCATCACTTTCTGCTTCGCATACCATGCCTTTCTATAGGAAAATTTAAAGCCATATTTAGAGGTTATCCTTTCTTGAATCAAAGAAATTGAGACAGATGGTTCTTCCCTTATCATCCCTGCATTGAATAGGTCACAGACTCGATAACATATAACAAATTTAATTACATAGCAATACGTAAACGTTGATGATGTCATCAAAAATAAATACGTACCTAGAACGAGCTCCGCAATAACGTCTGCATCGAGCTGTCTATGTCCCTGGGAAATGTGCTCATTCAAACAAGTGTGATCTCCACCCCATCTCGTAATCTTCCAATTTTCACCAAACACTGGTTTGATCGCCCTAATGCGCCACGGGAAACCTTTATCATACGCACAACATTTCATGGATAACTTTGCAAGTGTGCTCTCAATTACAATTGCTTCTTGATGCTCCCTAATGAGGTTGTGCTTCAGTGTCATTTGGGCATCTTTTTTTGTTGCAAATTCTTGGTTCACAAATAACTTGTCACCCAGTTGCCGCGGACCTTGTATTGAACCCGATCCTGAAACCGTACCATCAGTGCATGATTCTTGTTCGCTCCGATAACTCCAATCAATGTACGAATAATGCGGAATTCCTTGCCAAAAAGGAATAACAGCTTCGTCACCTGCATCTGATGATTAAAAATTTTTAATACAAACTTCCTAAATCAGGTATAAATTCAGGTATATACAAATTATATCAATTACCTTGATGATATTACCTATTGGGGCAGACACAACGTCATGCAATTGCGGCATTTGGGCGACCACTGGTTCATGGTATACTGGGATTTGAGACGCACCCATCTCACAACCTTCATCTCCTTCTGAAGCACTAGCATCCTCCGCCAGAAGACATTCTTCCATTGCGATATTTTCATCATCGTCGTCGTCGTCGTCGTGCATTTCCCAAGTCGGATCATTTTCATCTCCCTCAGAAATGTTACCAACTGGAGACGCATGAGCGACAGACATTGATGGAAGACGGGGAGAATTTAAATCAACTGACCTCACCGGTAATGGAACACTCTCCGCTGCGGCGATGTCGATATACAACTCCAGAAAATCTGTCCTTGACTGGTTGAAAAATTCTTCCATTGTCATCTCCACGTCTTCATCGTCAACCACTTGCGAACTAATGTATTTATCACAGTGCCATAACATTGTCGTGATCTGAGTGATACATTGGTTGCCTTGAAGACTTAACTTCTGCCAAATTCTCTGATGCAGTTCGCTAATGGTTGTGTTGCGTTGGATACGTGTCGGCCTTTTTTCACCTTCAAACATGACACCTCGTTGACCTTCTACCTTCCTACCATTGTAATATAACACAACACGAACAGAATTAGGATTTGAACTCATTCTTAAATAGAATAAGAAATAAAACTCAAATACTAAATTAAAGATAAAGGATTATGTATGTATGATGTTAGGAATTTTGGTAGAGAAGAGATGTGAAGAGTGAGAGAAGAGGTGTGAAGAGTGAATAGAGGTGTAGGGGAATATATAGGGCACAAGTGTGACGCCCCTTTTGGGCGTCTCATTGTGCAATAGATCCGTAATTATTTCCAAAACTGTAATAAATGCGTAATTATTTAATTAAAATGCATTATTTTAATTTTTTTGCCAAGATTTGGTTTATTATCAAATTATATTTAATCTAAGGAGGGTGTATTGGATTGAGATTTCAAAGAAAATCCGTTGGTATTCGATTAGGATTTTAATGGATTGAAAAAAAGTCATGTGGTATTCAATTAGGAATTTAAAGGATTATTTTAGAATCCGTCCAAATCCGTTGGTATTCAATCAGGATTTTAAACAATGGAATCACAATCTCGTGGTATTCAAAAATCCGACGATTTTAATGAATTTTCTATTGGTGTGGATTTCGTAAGACTTTTTAGTGAAAAATATAAGTAAGATGCCTCTCTCACAATCTCACCCCAACTCCTAGGATTTCTTGAGATTCTTCTATTACAGTGTTTTCTTCTTCCTTTGGTAGTTTGACTGCTTGAAATTGGGTTCCGTCATGGGAGCTTCGTCAAAACAAAAAAAAAAAGATCATATTTTTGAGCGATTTTCATCACAAAATAACCCACAAACAATAAACCAACGAGATTTTAATATAATCTATCTCAAAAATAACATATTTTTGAGCCAATTTTAAGAAATTTTGGAAGTTTAAAAAGTGATTTTTCAAGCTATGGGTCGCGGTTTTTCTTGACACAAAAATGTGCTTTTTGTATTAAAAATAACATAAAATAGTGAAAAATAACAAGAGAACTTTTGTATTATTTTCGTTTTACATTAATGAAACAATATCAATTTAAAGAAAGATTGAAACTTTCATAATATGAACCCTAAATTTCGTAACAATACATTCATGAACGAAATTCTTTTACTATAGGAAACGATTTCAAACAATTTTTGTGTCAATAGATAACTAAAAGCTTGTTTCTCAAAAACCCCAAAGCAATTTAAGGTTTCAATGTATCGATTGAAAAAAATTTGAGAAATTTTCTAAACTTTCATGTAATTAAACCCAAAATTTTAGATTCAAAATTTTCTTAATATTCAATGAAAATATGCATATGATATATGGTTAGAAAATTCCAAAAACCCCCAAGGTTTCAAGTTCAATTGCAAAAAAATTTCAAACGAAATTTTATCATTAACTTTAGGTTCTATATGCAAATTTAGAAATTTTTATAATTAAAAAAAATTGAGTCTTATAATCATATATGCATAGCTTTGATACCAAATGAGGAAGATGATTTTCAACCCATTAGATATGTGAAAAGCTGTTTAGTAATTTTGAATGTTTGTTAAAAATTATATTAATGTTTGGGGCAGGATATACGTACCACCAAAAAAATTTACCACCTTTACAACCAACTTAATCACCATTGATTTCTTTCAATTTAACGGTTATAATTTATTGAGAATTAATAAATACGACCTAATAATTTCCAATAAATTATAACCGTTAGATTGACGAAAATCAATGGTGATTAAGTTAGTTGTAAATCAATGGTTATTATATTTGGTTTTACTTTTTGTGGTAAGTATATATTTACCCATTATGTTTTACTGATTGAGAAAATTATATTTGGTTTTACTTTTTTTATTAATTTCATTGTATTTCTTTGTTATTTTTTGTATGGAGAAGATTATACTTACAACATATTTTCGTCAATCAATGGTTACTATTTTTGCAAATCAAACTTATTAATTAATATTTAATTTGCAATGAATAATAATCGTTAATTGACAGAAATCAACGGTTAAGATATGGTTGTAAAATGTTGTAAACAAAAATAGGTTGTTAGTATAACCTTTCCCTTTTGTATTGACTCTTGTAATTTTGAATGTTTGTTAAAAATTCATATGATTTTTTAAAATCTTATAAATCCATATTGTCCTTTCAAATCTTATGAATTCTATTAAAATCCTTTAAAATCCAATCCTACGAAATCTTGATTGTAAAAAAAGTCTTTTAAAAAAGTCTATAAAATCTCTCCAATTCTAAAATGTCATTTAAAATTTGTAAGATTTTTTATCTCAAAAAAAATCTTTTAAAATCCTAATCCAATACACCCCTTAAGTTTAATTTTGGATTTATATTTAACTTGTTAAATATGTTAATACAAGTTATAACGATATAACATGAACATGATGGGATAAGAGAGTTAATTATAATTAGGGAGTTAAATAATAAGTTTACATTAAAACAACATAAGAAGATGAGTTTAGGTAAAATAATAATAATAATAATAACAATAAATAAATAAATTATAAATAGGAGATGTGGTTATAAAGCTTGTTGTGAATTGAGACCAATTTGCTTCTGCTATCTATCGTCTTCTTCCTCCATTTCATTAGGTTTTTCACTTTCTCACTCGGAGCTCCGAATAAATCCATAATCGAAACCGAATTTCGCAATCCCTAGGTAGTTTTCGTTCGGACAACTCGCGAAATCGAAACACATCGTCGTCGGCTCCGCGTGATACGGTACCATGTTTTGTTCCTTTCTGCGATATCACTGTAAAGATTCATTTCTTATAGTCTTTTTTGTGACCCTTTATTGTTGGGTAGTTGATTGTGTTGTAAAATCGTCGTTTACGTTGAAGGAAGTGCAGTTTACCTCGTTATTGTTTCCTTTATCCACACAACACAAGCTTTATGTTGAATGCTATGTATTCAGAAGATTTGAATTTCTAGAGTTTGTAGAAATTGGTACTTGTCTTTTTTCTCAACACCAACTGTTGTATTCAATTTTTTTTATTCCACCATCTGGAATTTGTTATCAATTGCAACCAACATGCTAGATGATAGTATCTTTTATTTTCTTCAGTTATACTTTTAACTTTTTTTTTTATTTCTAAAGCAAAGTTTTATGCTTATGCTAGTTCTCTGCCTCTGCCTGGATATCAATGTTGGCTACTAGTGCTGTTGCATCTTTGCCCAAACTACCACCAGGTAAATGATATTTTCTGACTTTTTATAATGAGACATTATCTTTAGATATAGGAAATATGAGTTTGGAAAATTATAGTTGCTCTTTCACTTTTATTTTGCATCAGCATCACAATTCCTGCACAGACAAATCCTTGGAACAATGTTCATAAATGAACACGTTAGTTGTATCCTGTATTACACGAGCATATCTTTGGTACTACTGGAGTATGTACTCCTTTACTAAAAGTAGAAAAGGGTGATGGTTTAAGGGAAAATAACCATACAAAGAAGGGTAAAATGGTAAAAAATATATATTATTTTTTCCAAATTAAGTAAATGATGCACTGAGTCTTCAGTACTCCCTTAGCACTGAAGATATTTCCGTATTACACATAGCAAGCCCTTTTATACTTTATAGTCATGTGAGAACTTGGCAACAAAAGTGTTCCATTGTGGTAATATGACCACAAGTCCAGATTGAGCAATCTTGATTGTTAATTTATCTCCCTGGCAAAAAATTTGTTGCATGCATTATTGCATTATTGATTGCTATCTGATCTAAGGATCAATATATTCATGTTTTCAATCTCATGCTTTTAAACTAACACAGCCACTTTTGTGTAAAAATTTGTATCTAGTTTGTTGATTGCACAATTGATTGGATTGTATTTGAGGTGAATGTTTAAGCTGTCCCATTGTACACATTTGTGTAAATTGACTGCTATCATGTACATTTTTGCTTTGTTCTTCTCTATGGTATGGGTTACTGAAATGGATGTAACCCTGTCCCTTCCCTGATTCCTTTCCATTCCTTCCTGCTAATGGTGGGATTGATCCAAAGTCCTTGCACTCACTACAAAGGACTTTCTTGCTAAGCCACAGCTGGCACATTCGGTTTTGTATTTGTCACAAACGATTGAAAACATAATTCATATTTTTAATTATTGTGATTATTGTGAAATAATTACATTTTTGGAAACAGTGAGAAGAGGTGGCCACTGCATTGAAGAGAATGTTGTTGCTACATCTAACTCACCAAGAGGATTACGGAAGATTAATAATTCAATATCCCTGAGTTTTACACAGTTTCCATTTTGTACAAGAACTCATTCGACTCGGACAGCAACTATAATATGTGCTGCAGCTTTGGTAATGTTCTTTACTCACTCTTTTTTTTTTTAATTTATCATCTTTGGTGTTGTTTTCTTCCTTCCCTTAAAATTGTGATATCTTCCAATTCCAATAGTCTATCAGTTTCCAAACTCTGAATATATTCTTCATTTATATTTTATTTCTTTCGTTCTGACCTATAAGGCATACGCAATACAGCTTCATTAGAAGCAAATTGTCTTTAATGGCCTTTTGCGACATTTTTGGGACACGAAATGAATGGCTGAAAAATTAACATATTGTTTATTGCTTGAGTTGTCGCATACTGCTTTAAGGTGGTAAATATCATGCATTACTGTGCATCAGACAAGTTCTGGTATTCATGTGTTTTGATGTATCATGCATTACTGTTTAAATATCATGCATTTTTGTGTTTCTATATGTTATCCTTGGGGTCACTTACTCATCAGACACTTTTCATGCTATTACTGTCCCCATTTTTATATTATACTAAAGATAGAATACTAAAAACAACGCGAACTATTGAGGGGTTTAAATATAGGTTATTTTTACATATTGTGTTAAGATATCTTATTTGAACACACGCATTTGTTATAATATAAAGAAGATAACTTCTTTCGATTCTCACTTTACTAATCCCCTCTGGTATATGCAGAATGCAAGATGTGCTGCAGAGCAAACTCAAACTGTTACTCGCCAGGCTCCGACAATTACTCATATTCCTGGTAATTGTTGTTTACCAACATTTTATGATTTGTTAAATTATGTTAGCTTGTGTCCCTTTAGTCAGGGTACTTTTCCATGTCATTGCAATTATCTTCTGTTTCATTTGTCAGAATATTTTGTAATTTGTATATTTTTAACAAATAATTACCTAAAAGAAGCATTCTGCTCTCAAACATGGAACGGGTAAGAGACATTACGGAAATTGTTAACGATTAAATGTCATAATTATGATTTCCGCTGTCTTTTTCTTTTAGTGTATTTTTTACTTCATGCTGTTGTAAAGGTCTCAATTTTTCTGCTCATTCCAGAATTCCCGTTAAGCGGAAGTCCTTCCAAATAAAGTTAACTTCATTTCTCTCTGTGTTGCTCGTGGAAAATATGATGAATCATGTCAACTTCATATATTACTATTTACTAGTACACTCTCCTAAAGCATGTTCTAAATGGCTTCTCATGGTTTAATTCAACTTTCAGGCAAGGAGAAGTCACCAGAACTCGATGATGGTGGCACCGGACTTCCCCCTCGTGATGATGGTGATGGTGGAGGTGGTGGAGGTGGAGGCGGAGGCAACTGGTCTGGTGGATTCTTCTTTTTTGGGTTTCTTGCTTTTCTTGGCTTCATAAAGGATAAGGAAAGCGAAGACACGTATAGGGATAACCGAAGAAGGGGCAGAATTGGCTGAGACAACTGCATGCTAGTTTAGAATTTTTGCTGGCGTATTCTTTTAAATTTCTTTTCTCATATATACATACTGGAGAGTAGATGTTGTGCTTCATTAAGATGTCTCCGAACACAATTTTGTATTGTTATGTTACAAATTAAACTAAAAGGGGAGCGAACTGAAGTAATGGTAAAGTTGTTCTTTCATGACTGAAAGATTATGAATTCGAATTCAGGAAACAGTTTCTTTGTAATTATATAAGGGTAAGGCTGCGTACAAGAATTACTTCTATTCCACACTCGCTAGCCTGGTACAACGTGGTATGTTACAAATTAAACTCCACTTAAAACTTTACTTTGGAAAGAAAAGCTTTCCTATCATAATAATGAGTATCAAATTATATCAGTAGATGGTTAATCTTGGTAAAAATATGGGAATTTTGTGATAGATTAGCATGATGTTCATATTGAGTATTTTGTCTGCTACCTTTACCCGTTGTTTGACAATAGAATACAATAAGAGACACTCGTTCTCTGGTTAATCTTGATTGAATTATATTAATTTTATAATATTCTTGAACATTAGTACAATGCTCAGCTGTAGTGATTGCATCTAGAAACATATTTTTTTAGAAATATATTTCTCAAATTTTCGACGAATCTCGATTGCTTTTATCTTCGTACTGCATCCAGAAGGTTGATCAAGTTTCTTTTAAGTACGGATACTTTTATGTCTAAAGCGGGATCATGATGAATTCATTGGACTCAACTTATTCGTGAGTTGAGTTACACTGTTTAGATCCATACTACATATTTTTATTTTACTTATTCCAAGAAAATGTGGGGGGTAAATATTAGAGGCTTTTGATTTAGTGGCAACCTACAGTATACAGTTCAAGAAAATTTAATCTTCAAAACTAATTGACAAATCACTGACGTTAAAGTAACTCTTCTGACTACACACTTTTATTGTAGTTGGTCCTCTCTTAATGCAGAATTGCAGATCACATTTTTTTATTTTATTTTTATTTTTTTGATAACATGCAGATCACATTTAAGGCAAACAGTTGTGTGCACGTGTAAAATGAACTAAAACGTAGCATACTTTTTTTTTGGTTGAATTTAAAACGTAGCATACTATTTCTTCATAATATAGTTATCAGTATGATATCGAATAGGAATTATATTGATATAGTATTGTATCGAGTATCATAAGAATATTAAATTAAAATATATAATTTTGAATACAAGAAAATAAAAAAGTGTTTGTGATTTAAATTAAAAAAATCTAAAAAATAATTATTAATAAGGAAAAGAAAATAAAGATTTAATTTATGATTTAAATTCAAAAATCAATTTGATTAATCTGTATTAATAACGAAAATAATTAAATAAATATTCAAAATCTCTTTTGTCTTCAAAATAAATAAATAAAAAATGATAAGTGTAAAGACATCATCATACAAGAACAAGGTAACATCAACAGACATTGTTGAACAATAAAGGAGAGAGGAGTCAAATGAATTAGTTATTTCTGTGATAAATGCTAATAATAATAATAGTGATCTATGTAGCACCGATACTGACATGGGACATGTGACACGATACGACACGTTAATTCTAAAAAATGTTAAATTTTGACACATTAGGGCACGTTTTGATATTAAATAATATTTTTAATTTATATAGTATATATTTTATTTAATATTCAATAATTTAATAAAAAATGTATCTAGATTTATAATATTCATAAATTTTGCAAAGAAACATAAGATATCTCAAATATTTATATTAAACTCAATAAAATGGTAATCATAATCCAACGAATCTAATAGTTGGAACTAAAAACTCAACGCAACTTAACCTTGAACCTTTTTTTGAATTTCTTGAACGCGTATTGGAGTGTCCGAATGTCAGAACACGTCAAAATTTTTGAAGTGTCGATGCTTTGATAACATTAATCTTTATGACTAATGAGTAGAAAATAACTAATTTGTACTTTAATTATTTATGTATTTTGTTGGTTGAATCTTTGTTAAAAATTTGAATTTATATGACATCAATTATATTATATATTTTTAAATTATTTTTTATTATATTTCTGTATATTACAATTTGATCCGAATTCACAATACATGATTAAAAAAAAATAAACAATATACGATAAATATTATAATTCAACAACCTTGCTTTATACCAAATAATTACACAAGTTTTTATTCCAAGTTAGAGTGCCAGTTGTTTGGTTTAAGTTTACATAATCTTATATAAACAAGATCCGCGCAAAGTCCCTTTATGTTTAGGGTTATATCATATGGCAAATGCCTTTTGAGCAAACTTGGAGCATTTCAGTACAATGTGCTAAAATGTTAAAAAAAATTATCAATGACTATTAAATATCATATCGGATATTTCATACTATTATTTCATCATGATGTATTAAATATGAAAGCTACATATGGGTTACCCATTAATTAGCATTTGCTTTTTCACTTTTTACTTTAAATAAATGACTTAATATTTCCTTCGTTTCCTTTGGCTTACACCAAAAATAGCTCGAGAATGACAATATTCACCACGGTGCTATTAAAAAAATGCACATCAACAATAAACCAAAAATGCAGGAACAAATTAAATATACACATGACGGATTTCTAATAAGCCTTAAGATACTACTTAGAACCAGAAGATATTATAATCAGAGGAAAAGAGAAACAAAATATTCTTAATATTAAACCCCATGTTAGCCTGTGTAGCTGTCCGTACATAAATCATCTTGTTGGTCGAATCCATGTCGTCTCCAATGTGATAGTGTTACCATAATAAACCTGCTTTGAGTTCTCATCCCAATAAGCCTGAAAGCAAGTAAAAATTGAAATGAGCAAAGATCAAAATGTCCTTGATCTGGTTCAAAAACACCTACGAGTAAATATCAAACATCAATACCCTTTGAACTGGTGTAGTTTCAACACCTGTCAAGTTGTATACAATACAACTGTTTGATTTTATTAGTATTATGTAAATAAAAGAAACTCCCAAGGGTACAAACGCAAAGAGGAGCACTCAAAAAAAGGAAAGGTGGTAAAACTTAAGCGGAAGAAACAAAAAATTGTATATTCGGAAATGCTTTCCACCCAGCCTCCTCAAATCATATTTCACCCTCAAAATGCTTGCATAAAAGTGATGACAACAGAAGTTGCAGGACTTCACAAACTAATATAGCACATAAGATTTCCCCATTCAAATATAGAACATAGGATAGGACCCTGAAAACACACCTGCCAACTAGATGGGAGACCCTTAGAGAGTTCAATCAGATCAGGCTGCTGCTGGTTATGCTCAATTGCATTTTGCAGTGTGCCAGTAGATTCACTTGCTGCTTGTGCTCTCTTACGTTTGACCCTCTCCCTCCTGCATAAAGTAAACAATTGCATTAGTGTGTGTGTAAGTTGGGCAACTGTTGGATGTGAAATTAAAGGTTTCTGGAAACTCGTACCAATCACCACCTAAAGGCTGAAAATTAGCATTATCTTTGGCCTCTCCACTCGCAATTTGCTTGGCACGCCACTCCTAAAACCAAAGAAACTTGAGAAACAAAATGTTGGATGACTGCAAAATTCTATGAAGTTAAGTTCCACATGCAAACCTCTATTTCCCTTTGGCGCTTTCTTTCCAAAACCTCATACACACTCTCGGGTTCTTCCTCTTCCTCGAGCAACTCCTCTTTAGCTGCCTTCCACTAATAATAACAATAAACAGAAAACAATGCAGAAAAGTCTTAACATATTATAAACTAAGATGAATTTCATGTTGAACAGGAAATCTTCCAGGATATGAAATCACCAGAATACTATTAAAAAAAAACTACCTTGTCCACCAAACTCGAAACCTTCTTATTAGACTTTAATGAGGATCCAACTGCAACTGCCCGCTTTCTAGTGCGTCCAACTGAGAAAAATGGGAGGGAAGTAAGAAATCAAGCATTGCATGATAAGTGATAACTGTATATTTTGCAGCCTCACAGGGGCATGAAAAGAATTTAACAAATTACATTTAAAATTTAAAATGGATGAAAAAAAAAACAGATAGAAAGAAATAGCACGCAGATGCTTGAGAGAAAACATTCTAATTATGATCAACAGAGGCCAACAACACAAGAAATGCATTGTTATACAGACTAATTAAAAATTCCAAATGAACCTCATCAGTCATCACCGACATGGAAAGGCATGATGATGAATAAACCATTAATATTACTAGATCAGCCCATCACAAGGAGGGAGGGAGGAAGGTTCAACCAACACTACCTGAGCAGTTGTAACTGATTATGATTAAGTGTGAAAAACATATTACCAACAATCTAGGATTATATGTACGTTCTTGAACCCATAGATAGCAATTAAGGCCAATAAATCAGGGCCACTCAACTTTAGCAGCTAAATATGAAGCAGTATAATCCAGCCATTAATACCAGACTTGCTCCGAATCTTTACCTTTAGTTTGCGCTTTAGCAACTAATGATGAGGCGTTACTTCCTGCAGCAGCTTCAGCAGTAGCCAATGGCAACGAAACACCATCATCAACTGAAACAGTTGCGGGTGCATGGATGCTAAATGAGGTGGACGGAACATCACTAGATGCCCTGTCAGCCTCACCAACACCACCAGAATCATTAACATTGATAGCTGGTATAGACTTTGAACCAGCTCCTGAAAATTCCAAGGAATCAAATTAATAAAAAAAAGGCTGTAATAACTAAGAAAAGAAGATTCACAGTAATAAAAATAGAAAATAACTTCATTAACTACTGATATACTGGTACCAACATTAACGTACCATCTTGAATCTCATAATAAGCAACAGGGTCAGTTGGATTGACCATAAGTTGAGAATTTTCACTATATATGTTAGGAACTGCACTGTAGTAGAGCTGTGCAGGTGGCATAGCAATTTGTCCATATATATTACTATTTGTGACTTCAGCAGCTGGCTGCCCATAATACTCAGAGCTAGCACCAGGATAAGGTAGGCTATATTGAGCATAAGAAAGGGATTGCCCAGGCTCTGTGTAAGATGGGAGACCATGATAAGAAGCTAGTGGATCACCAGGCGGTGGAGGGGGCACTTGATCATTCTCAGGTGGTGGAGGTGGAGGCACCTGCTCATTATCAGGGGGTGGTGGAGGAATCCATTCATCATCTGGAGGAGGAGGAACAACAAACTCATCATCAGGCATCAAAGAATGGTAGTCAGGAAGTGGATTCAACTGAGCTGTTTGGTCTGTTTGTACAAAACCCTTGGCGACTGACACGTCCATGACAGTTGTATTGCCAGAGGAATTCATATCTTCAACTTCCATGTCCACATCCATATCAATATCTTCTCCAACGTTATACCCATCTTTATGAGTTGACTCCTCAGGATTTATAGTAGCTTCAACTTGTGTATTAACTTCTACACCTGTTTCCATGTGAATCCCAGCAGAATTAGATGGCAGAACATGCTGAGCATTGTTGATATCTTTTAAAACTACAGTTGAAGCATCAGCCTGAGATCCATTAGAAACTTCAGAAGTATGAAAGATCCCATTATTCACATTGTGATCTACTTCAAATTCATGTCCCATGCCATTCTGTTGCTCACCCAATCCTTCAGAGACAGGGGAATGCTTACCCTCAACGTCATCATGTGCTGATTTAGCAGTTTGCAACAAATCATCATTGATTAAACTTTCAAGTAGTTTCATCTTCCTGTCAGAATGCATCCAGAATGGAAGTAAAGACGATCCATAGGATGCAAGAGACCTAAAATCAGAGAGCCTAATCTCAATCTCTAAGATATAATTCAACAAGGAGTCCAGGCCTTGCAAATTGCCTTTTGACCTGTATCAAATTTGCTAGTTACTTAAATCTGGAAGAAACAAGTGTTTAACACTATCAAATAAACAATCAAAAAAATACCACAAACAAATTATGCAAAACAGCTAAGTTGTACACTTACTTTTTCAGTGATTTTAAACTCTCTAACAAACTTTCACTCTGTTTTACAAGACGAGAAGGAAAATCAATTTCTGAAAGCTGTTCTTCAACACTGGAAACAAATGAATGATCTCCACCATACGATAAACTCATGAGACCATCATTACTTCTTATCAATTCATTTCCATTTACATCAGAACTCTGATTTTCATTTGTACATTCACCGCCACATCCATTCATTTGGGACTCATAACCATACAATTCTTTATGAGAAGTCGCTCTGGTTTCCAGAGAACCATCAATTGTGAATGCAGCAGACGTGTCCTGCATCACAGCTGAGTGCACGTTGGAATTATCCATATAAATAGCAGCATTTTCTATTTTATCATTGACAGGACATATTGGATCATTAGCCAACTGATCTGCTTGAGCCAAAATATGGGGTACTTCCCATGAGGTTTCCCCAGTTTCAATGTTCCAGTAATAATAGCGTTGGCTTTCCTCATGCATCACCATCTTCCATCCTGAACTAATATCAGTGACAACTAGTTCATCCAACCTTTCAGAAACATAAATTTGGTCTTTGGAAGTCGTTTCATTTTCCAAATCACCAGCAGCAACATCACTTTCATTTTTTTCACTGCCTTCAACATCAAGTGATGTAGAATTTTGCATTGTATTCTGTTGTCCATTATTCTGAGCAACAAGATCTACAGAGACACTGATGTCTAAGTCTTTGGATTCTTCATCAAGTGCACCCTTAGCCTGACAAAAGTAAAGCACCTCAATGTAAGTAGTACAAAAAGACAGCTTAATCATTTTTAGATTAGGTATCCTACACACTATTCAACAGAAAATATTTCCTCCAATTATCATTTGAGTGACAAGGAATATAACCTATTCATCAATTCATCAATACTGCAATAAATTGTAAAAAGCCTACACAGTCATACTTTTAGATCTTGCTGAAAAATATGAATATCATATTATAGTGTGAGAAAGTTGTGGTAAACTGATTTCCAATAAAAAGTAGCATTCATCAACTGCTGGAAATTATAAGCATCCAATCAAAAAGTCATTACTAAAAAATTTTATATTACAACATCAGAAAAGGGGATATCAAGCAAAGGAGAACATAAAAATGAAGAAGGACAGTGAAAACAATTTCATAAATTTACTAACAAATGCTAGAGAAGCAGAAAATTTGTAACTTTATAACCAAATTAGGGATACAGGGTCCCGTTCCCTTAAATAAACCCAGCCTGTTATGCCTAAACCATAAAAAATAGAGAGAGAGAGAGAGAGAGAAAATGCAAACACACAACCCTTCTCACCATAAAAGAGTTAATAAGGGAGATTATTAAGATCAGGAACATCAAAGGGAAAATGCAAATGTGAGAACAAGGTACATATATGGTATAACAAAATAAAACTTTTCGCTTAGAACAGATATGTAGGTAGTAGAATACCTCTTCATTGAGCACAAGGCTCTGCGTCTTCGTATTATTAGGCCCTTCACTTGATTCCTCATCCAATTCATCATCGCTATATTGTCCAAGTAACTGCAGGGGATTCTGTGGTTGTATACCTGAAGACAAAATGCCAGCATGTCAGAAACTATGAAAATGATGGATTATTAATTATTTAATAGCAATAATATTTGAAAAGAATGCCAGAAAGATTCAAAAACTATAAAAGCAAGTGCTACAATTGAAAAGAAAGACAAAAAGAAACTTAAGGATGCAAATAGATTCACAAGCATTTTAGCTTGTATTATCTGAGTCACCTGTTACAGATGGGAAAATGTCAGTAAGTCACTAAGCATATAAAGCCAGAAACATACGAACCGCTAATACTTTCTACTGTCTGAACCTCGAAAATCCCTTGATGCAGCCAAAAGGGAGGAAAACGATTGGGAGTCATTCATATTTCAATGTGGCAGGGCCGACCTCATCTGAAATGAATGTTCCCAAGACCACAGCTGCCCTACAGTCTGAGAACAGTTTCTTGGGGCAAACAACAAAATATGTCCGGTATATATAATTCCATATTTCCACCAATTTAATGTTGAGCACTCATGTCCTCTAAATATAGTCCTTTTGAAGAAAACTGACAGAACCCACCTGAAGAAGAGGGTGAATTGGGTAACCCATCACGATGTTGTGAGTCGATATCTCCTCCAGCATCACCATGTACAGTGGAGACACCCAACTCTCCTGGAAAGTTATAAAATTAAGAACATGACAAGTTGCAGAAATGGATAAAAATCAATTTCATAATTTGATTCTCTCAGAACTCCCTACCGTTCTTTATAACTAATACATTATACTCAACATTCAAAACATTAAATCACTAATGTAACACTGCAAACAAAACATGTCTTACGTATGACTCCAGAAGTCATTTGCATATTCCAGAAAATTGCACCAAGTATTTCTCAGATACATACACCAAACATGGATATAAACTAGCCCAATGGAATGTATGCACAACTCTGCCCAAATGTAAATAAATAATATATATATATATATATATATATATATATATATATATATATATATATATAATATAGGGTAAGGATCATTTTACACCAGTGTAAGTTACACTCTTAATCTTGTCTGTTGATCTCATTTATATTTAAGGGCTCTAATTTTTTAGTAATGTGAGCCATTAGATATAAGTGGATCAATGGTCAAGATTGAGTGTAAGACTTCTAACTCTTACACCGGTGTAAGAATATCCTGCCCCATATATATATATATATATATATATAAGGTATTCCTTTTACCCTTTCACTTTGAATAAAAATTCAACAAAAAAAAATCATAATTTCAAACATCACCCCAAAACAATTAAATTAAATTAAAAGACAAGTTGGTTTTCCAAAGATATCTGGACCAAATTAGGGTTTCTGAATTCGAAGCAATCCGAAGAATCAACCCCAAAATAAGATCATTTATAAAATTATAAAAGAATTTAAGAAAGCGAAGGGGTAAAAGAAGGAGTGAATACCAGAGGGTTCCGCGAAAAGATCGAGTTTGACTCTACGACCAGCGTTGCTAAGAGCAGCAAGACGACGCTCTTTTCTCTTCCCCATTCGATTCGTTATTCAAATTTCGAAACGACAGAATAAACACTTTGTGGCGTGCTGTGTCGAAGAAAGGAACTTCGGTTATTAGGGTTTGCAGTTTGGAGTGTTCTGTTTTGATTTGAATCTCTGAAGCCAAAACCAACAGACAAGAAGAAGCAGGGTCGGGTCTCACGTTTCGGGTTACAGGTCTCGGATCTTTCGGATCGGGTTCCTCTGCAGTTACGTGTCGGCTCGTTCGTGCGGTGCCTTCCACGAAATGCCCACGTGAATAAACGATAAGTTTGACTCTACGAGGACGTTGGGTTACAAGATATTTATACGATTTTGGAAAATTTAATTTTTCTAAACTTTTAATTTCGAATATTATCGTACACCGAATGTTTTCATCGTATTTTTTAAAATCAAAATTTTTGGATGAAAAAATTTTCTCTTCTGTCAAACGCCTACTAAATGGGGCCACTGTTGGTCGAGTCGAGTGTGGTTCTTTTTTTATTATTATTACAATAAAGGGCCGAAGCCTAAAGACAGAAAGAAACAAAAAAGAAAAACTAAGTCCTACGTAAATCAAAATCTAAAATACTAAAGAAAATTTTCCCAGATATTGGCTAAGCTTCATGTTCCTTCTATACTTTCCTATTAAAACTTGTACCCACATGTCATTAGGGTGGGTCACTATCTGCTAAGCAATCTTAAACAAAAAAGCTTCATTATGAGTATGCAATTTGTGAACTTCCAAACCTCCCAAATTACTTGGGTAGCATATGCAATCCCACATGATACAAGATGAATTCTCTTCCTATCTATAGTGTCTCTCCAAATAAAGGATATTTGTAATTTTTCAATTTCGTTACACACTGTTAGAAGGAAAAACTCTGGTACACAGGGATAGTACTTACTGTTAGAACAGCATTGAACAAAGTAATACGTCAAGCAAGAGACAAATAACATTTTTTTCCAGCCAGCGAAACGTTGACAAACCAAATCCAAAACACCCATATAGTTAGGCCTTCTAACGAGCCCATAATGTAATAAAGCTCATAGATATTTACCCAGATATTTTAATATGGAATTGTGGTGGTGCAGCGAAGAAAAATTTTCGTGGTACCATGACTACTTTTATTAAGAAATATGATGTTGATATTGTTGTTATAATGTAATAAAGCTCATAGATATTTACCCAAATATTTTAATATGGAATTGTTCGTGGTATTTTTAAGAAAAATTTCCGTTATACCATGACTACTTTTATTAAGAAATATCATGTTGATATTGTTATCTTGGAGGCGCGTGTGAGTGGAAACAATGCTCTCCAAATTATTCGTAAAATGGGTTTCTCTAATTTTTTGTTGGAGGAAGCAAATGGATTTTCTTGAGGAATTTGGGTTTTATGGGAGTTAATATCAAAAAACTTGATCAGAGCTCCCAATTTATCTAAACCAAAATTTCCTATCCAGGACAAAGCACTTTTTTCTTTATCGTTATAATAATTCTAAACTGTGTAATATGAATTTGTGATAAGATTATTAATTTAATCATGAAATTAATGGTTTAATTAGGTTAAAATTCTAATTAGATAAAAATAAGGTATTTTTGGAAAAAGTGCAAAAAATGATAGTTTTGGAGTATAATTGCTAATAGGCAAAAGTTGCTCGGAACTTAAAAATAATCGAATAAAATATGAAATAATTTTAATGAAGGTCTATGATTAGTAAAATGGATGTGATGGCACGATTGGAATAGTGCTTAAAGTTGCTTTGACTTTAATGAACCTAATATTTGTTAAAACATCTAAGTTTATGATCAAAAGAACCATTCCTTCCTTCCTTCTTCTTCTTGCACCTCTACTCCAAGCCCAACATCATAGCCTTGGAAGCTTGATTTCTAGTTTCTTGTGTAGTCATCCATTTGCCTTGAATTAAAAACCAAAGTTGCTTGGAAACTTGATACCAACCTAACCTATAATTCAATATCTCTTGAAAGTGAGGGTATGGAGAGAGAAGTGCAAGGGGAGGTAACAGTTTTATTGGAGTTTTGAGAAAATGAGGCCCTCTTGATCTCACCCAAGGATTGGAGAACACTCTTGGGTTGAATATTGGTGAGTTTATGTTTAGAAATCCTATTTTCATACAAGTGTGATGATCATGTAATTTTTAGGTTGCATAATGACATATTTCCATGGTTGATCTGGTTAGAGTGATATGTAGCTTTAGTTCCTTTGGAAAGTATTCTAAGGAACTTAAATAAACGGTAGAAATGAATTTAGATCATCATTTGGACTTAGTTTGATATTTTCGAAAATATCATGTGTAAATAGCTTGATTTCTTGCAATGCAAGTAATGGGCGATTGGGATTTATATTCATTGTTTAATGTTTGATAATGGAATGTATGTTGTTCACACTTGTGACTTTGATAGGTCATCCTAGTGGAATATAATGTGTGGATCTTTTGGACAAGCTTGTGGTTGGATTTCTTAAGTGGCAAGAAAGGTTTGATAGGAAGCTACTGCAGGTAAACTTTCAGACCTTGGGATGTATCTCGTGCTTGTTCCACCATGCTCTTAAGGGGTAGTGGTTGATGTGGCATATTTAATTGCATCGATTTAATGTGATGCATTTGATATATGTACGTGTATGCTATGTTTTTGCACTTGGTATGTATCAAGGAGATTTTCTTGTGTAATTCATAGAGTGTAGTTTCTCTGTCCAGTAGGATTTATTGTTATTGCGACATGAGCATTCTTGAGGAATGTTTGGATGAGCATTATTTACATAACACGGATATGTATATGTTGTATCATGATTTGTTGCTTTTTATGTTGAAGTGAACTTGGGGTAGAGGAATCTTCAAGGACCCTTGGTTTACTTAAATATACATGTATATCTCACTCGGCGTTATGGAATTTCAGGTATAGGTACTAACGGTGCAGAAGCATCACAGGGTATAAGGCTAGGCTAGAGTGCCATGATTTTACATGCTTGTGGAATTTTTTTTTATCTACATTTGCATTTCACATGCATTACATGTAATTTGGAGAGTATAGGGAATGTCTATACTTCTTTTGATTATGCCTACAGATATACTTTTAGCACTATGTATAGGTTATTTCCCTTATGTATCTTTTGTGTTTATTGATGCATTTGTGTATATAACTCATTTTGGAGACTTGTACATGGACTTGTATATGTACATTTGTATAATATGTAATGGACTTTGATGTTACATCCACTAGATAGGTGTATGTTAGATAGTTGGGTATTCATTGAGAAATCCATGGATGGACCAAGTGAATAAGCCTTAATGTGGTTATATGCATGCTTGGTTAATTGAATATCATGTCTATTAGGTTCCATTTGAGTTTGGGGAAAAGTCCTTATAGTCCATAATGCAGCAAAATGCTGTCAAAAAATGGCTTTACCTAGTAGGGTAATCGGATTACCTTTAGGTGGCAATCGATTACCTGAAACAGAGGAGGAAAAAATCAGCCACTATCTTGGTTGGTAATCGGTTACATTGAGTATGGTAATTGATTACCTAGTTGAGTAATCGATCACCCCAGCTTTGGTAATCGATTACCAAAAACAGATGAGGAAGTTTTGAGCTACTGCCTCTACAGTAACGAGGTTGGTAATTGATTACCTTGAGAGTGGTAATAAATTACCTAATGCAGTAATCGATTACCTCCTGTAGGGTAATATATTACCTTACTGCAAAAAATGGAAAATAGTGTTTTTTGAAACCTTGGATTCATGGTATTATCCTCTGAGGGTTGTAAATAAATGTAAGCGCTTCCAAATAGTACTGAAATAACAATTAGAGTATTGAATTTAATTTATTACAGAATCAGTTATAGTTGAAAATAATGAAAAGAAAAAGTTTATCCGTAATTCTAAATTCAATTACTATAATTGTAACTGCGCTTAATACCATATGTGATGTTAACAAATCGATCTGGTAACAAGGTGTTACAACCACTGTTTATGGGAGTCCTCGTTTGGAATCTAGAAAGGAGTTATGGAACCAATTAAGACATCTGAAAAATGAACATCCTACTCCATGGCTAATGGAAGGTGATTTTAACGAGATTTTATTTGCAAAATAAAAGCAAGGAGGCTCAAATATTGATTCACAAAGATGTGATGAATTATTACAAAAAAAAAAAAAGATGTGATGAATTTGCCTCGACCAGTGATATGATGGATCTAGGTAACTCTAGTCCTTATTTTACATGGAGTGGCCCAAAATTTGCTCATTTAGACAGAGTTTTTAAAAGACTTGATCGAGCATGTGCAAACCCACCTTGGAGGATTGCTTTTGATGAAGCTGTTGTTCAGGTTTTGCCTCGCTTTAGATTTGATCACAACCTCATTATCATATCTCTGATGTCTTCCACTCTATCCTGGTCCCCTACACATTTTCGATTCTTTCCAATTTGGATGGAGCATTCTGAATTCAAAGATGTGTTATCCAAATATTGGCATGATGATACAAATACTCCTACAAACCTCTCTTCTATAGTTGTAGTGCTTAAAAAGTGGAACACTAATACCTATGGTCATATTTTTAAAAAAGAAAAATACTATTTTGAAGAGACTGGAAGGTATTCAAAAATATCTTGACAAGCGCCCAAATAGGTATTTGGAAAATCTAGAGAAGGATTTGAAACAGGATTTAGAGTTGATATTGCAATGTGAGGAGCTCTTGTGGTATCATAAATCTAGAGCTTAATGGATTGTAGATGGAGATCGTAATACTAAATTTTATCATCTACAAATAGTTACTCGAAGACGTAAAAACAAAATTCAGGCTCTAAAAAATGATGCAGGTCATTGGGTTAGAGATGAGGATTCCCTTCGTCGCATGGATGTTGTTTTTTTTCCTATCAAAATTTGTTTATAGAAGATGTCCAAAACAGATATTGGGAACAAACTCCAGTCAATTGGCCACAACTGGATCCTGACTTTTATAACAACCCTAATTAAGAAATCTTGAAATAATAAAAGAAGTATAAGTGTGAATACTGGTTTACACTAGCTTTTGAATAAGTAAGCTTTTGCTGTGAATTTTGATGTGTAAATGAATGAATTGACATGCTAAAATTTGTGATGATATAATTCATGTCAAGCAAGGTTAATTAGACCTAAATAAGAATATTAATAAAGTCTCAAAATATAAATATGTGAAAGTATAGGGACTAATTTGCAAATAAGCAAAATAATGACCTAAGCTTAAGCTTGATTGTGTAATTAAATT